GCCTGGGTTGCAGGCCAGTCTGGTCAGGGCACACAGCAACCAGTGTTTCTCACATCAGTATTTCTTCTCTTTCTCCCTCCTTTACTCTCTCTCTTAAAATAAATAGATAAAAAATCTTTAAAAAAAAACGGAGCAAACTTTACAGTAGAGTTCAGTCCTGTTTTTTGTGTATGTGACCACATAAGAGAAATAAAGCCATCGAGTGATGACACAAGGAAAGGGAATCCCGTTGACACTGTCGTCTCCTTGTACGCACGTGATGAAGGACTCTCACCTTCCTGGACTCACTGACAGTGGGGAGGGGAGACGGTTCCCACCTCGGAGCAGCAGGGACCCCCACAGCCCTGCTGCCCAGGCTGCTTTCTTACGACCGGGCACCAGGACCACCTTCCATGAGAACCATACACCCCTTGCTGGCTAGGACGAGCTCTTGTTTTTCCGCCTAAAAATCAGTTCTCGGATAAAAGAAACCCAACTTTTTAAGAATTTGGGGCTGACAGCACAAGTCTGGATGAGGCATAGATTCTTGTAAAAGGGCTATCTTGAGGATGTCCTAATTCCAGTTTTGGAGAAACTAAGGTGACTTTGGTGGACAATGGAAGGAGTCACAACATGTGAAACATCTTAAATAAAAATTTTTTGGCTTTGCTCTGGCTGGTGTGGCTCAGTGGACTGAGTGCCAGCCTGCAAACCAAAGGGTCGCCAGTTCAGTTCCCAGTCAGGCCACATGCCTGGGTTTCAGGCCAGGTGCCCAGTTGGGGCGCACAAGGAGCAATCACACACTGATATTTCTCTCCCTCTTTCTCCCTTCCTCTCTCTCTAGAAATAATAAGTAAAATTTTAGAGACCCCCCAAAAAATAAGCTCATGTTTAAAAAAATGTATTGGCTTTAAACAATTTTCCCTAAGGTGAAACATTGAAAGAGATGGGAAGGAAGGGAAAAGAAAAAGTAATTCCCACTTGGGGGAAAATAATCAGTACTGGCTGTTTTTAATTCATTCTTGGTATTTTAAACTTGTGTGTGAGTGGGGCCCTCGGGCTCTCAGTAACCAGACAGGCACTGGGTTAGACCTCCCAGCCAGCAGCAGGGAGGACCCTCAACCACAGGGATCACAGAGCAGCCCCCATCCCTGCTCACATTCCTCGCCCAGCGCCAGGCTCAGAGGGGACTCGGCGTATTTAAATGGGTAGGCGAGTTTATGATTACAGATGAAGAAAATGTTAAGTCATTACCTTAGGTTTCCTCTAGTCGCTGGATGTAACCAAACCTGCCGTTTTGTTCCTGGTTCAGTTGAACAGACCAGTGATTAGTTTGAGAGTCACTTAAACTAGGATTTAAAGAGGACCAAGGGGCGTTCCCTGCCTCCTAGGACAGGCCATCCTCTTGGTGGGGTGTGCAGGTGCGCATGCGCCACACACGCTGAGCGGTAGAAATGCAGTGTCAAGGTGCAGCAGAGGCCTCCAACCGGACGTTTAAGGTTAACCAAGCACCGGTGAGCAAGCTTGAAGGTGGGCGCTAGGGCAGAAGTGTTCCAACTGATAGAGCAGCAGTTCTCAAGCCCTTCAGCCTCAGAACCCCTCCACAGGCCTCCGTGTTACTGAGGGCCTCACAGTTCTGTCAGCTAGAGACAGCTACCAGTATTTCCAATACTAGAAGTTCAAACTGAGAAAATTTTACAACACCGACAAATACATTGCACTCACCGCCAGAGTGATGACATCATCACGTGTCACGTAGCCTCTGGAAGACCCCACCAGACACTATTCACAGGACTAGAGTTTAAAAAACATGCAAATAAAGTTCCAGTATTATCATGAACATAGTTTTAACCTCATGGACTTCTTGAAAGGGTCTCAAGGAACCCTCAGGGGTCCCCAGGCCACATTTTAAGAACACCAGAGTGGTAAATGCTAATGAACGGGGCTGCAGCAGGGAGAGCAACTGGCTTTCTGAAACCATGCAAAAGGCCATGGCTTCCACAGTTCTTAGAGAAGCAAGACTGGTACCCATGGATAGGGCAAAGGGTGAAGGCCTTTTATGAGCTTGCTGCCCCACCAACAGGGTGCAAACCACCCATGTGCCAACCTGTTGTCCCAGCTGATGGTGATTCACCACCATTATCAAGTCCAGCCCCATGTAGGCTGAAAGGGGATGAGGAGCCATGTCCTTTTCAAAGGATGTTCCCTGCAGAGTGCACACACCATGTCCACTCATACCTGACTGGCCAGAAGTTAAGTCGTGTGGCCTCAACTACAGTGGGGCTGGGAGTCTCTTGCTGGGGATGTTTCGTCTCTGCACAAAAAGCAGCTTGTCCTGGATGCCAGGGAGAGAGGGCTCCATCCTCCTTAAGCCCATGCATGGCTCCTGCCAGGCAGAGATGCTCTGGAGAACAAGTGAGAGACAACATGGCTATGTAATCTAGAATCCCTCTACACTCCTCCCTGGACCTCCCCCCAGACAGATTTTACAGGTGTTTTTTCCGGGTGGTGTCACCGGTGCGTGGGATTGGAGTCTGGTTTCAGGACTGGTGTGCACAGTGCATCCGTGGTAAAGAACAGCATTCCTGGCATGCCTCACTTTTGTGGTCAAGAGCGGGAGCCGTCCTGCGATGCTGCCCCCGTCCCTCCTTGTTTTGCATCTCTCCCAAGACCTAGCCCAGTCTTCACAGTTCCTCCGGAATTCAGGGACTCACTTTTACTCCTACCACCTAGTCTCAATGCCTCCTACGGGAACATACCTTCCACTTCTGACCGGCATACTCTACTCTAAAATCACCACTTTGCAAATGAGAAGGTTCAGTATGGTTCCTACTTTGCTCAAGGTCACATAGCTCTTAAGTAAAAGAACCATCATTTGAACCCTGATTTAACCCCAAGGCCCATGATTTTTTATCTTTGTCTTCAACAAATATCAAGGAGTTGGATAGCCTAATTGTCAACCTTTAAGCGTCTAATATCTTTCTTCCAAAAATCAAAAACCTAGCTCTGACCAGTGTGGCTCAGTTAGTTTGGTGTCGTTCCATAAAGCAAAAGGTTGCTGGTTCGATTTCCGGTCAGGGCACCTGCCTGGGTGGCAGGTTCAGTCCCTTTTCTGGGCATGTGCAAGAGGCAACCAACTGATGTTTCTTTCCTCTGACTCCCCACTCTAAAAATAAATAAAATCTTAAAAAAAAAAAAAAACTAAAAAGAAAAGAAAAATCCACACATAGGGCTCAACAGCTGTAAATCTGTAACCTGTTTGATGGGCGAGAGAGCTGACAACCTTGGAACGCCCAGGGTCCATCATTGCCACTCACATTCAAGTACTTCCAGAAATTGTGCTAAAGGCTTGACACACTTTGGTGCAACACTCAGGCAGACACACTTATCCCCATCCCCGCCTTACAGACACAGGTCACGCAGCTACGGGGTCTGTGCTCCTCAAATCCTGTGGTTCCATTATCTCATTTTCTAATTTGTTTTTATGATGTCATGACTTCTACTTTTATAGCTCATTTCCCATTTGTAACGCCTTAGTTTGGGTGCCTGCTGTAGCACATAAGGAAGTATCTTAAAGGTCTTTTTATGGTGTCCTGAAAGTAGGAGTTTCCTGAGTCCAAGTATTTAATATTTAACTAAGCAAAATATGTCATAAAGAAGCTGTAAAATGTCTTTGGAATATACTTACAAAACCCATCATTTCTTGAGAAGACAGAGCTCAAGCGTCCCTGGGAACTGCTTTTTGGAGCCACAGAAGCTCCCTTTCATGGCCTCATGGATTCACGCTTGGGGCCTGAGGCAGGCTGAGGCTGCCATGCAAACAAGGTCTACTATCTGAGCTAAGGGTGTTTATAAAACTTTAAACTAGGACTTCAACATATAAAGATACTGTTTCTCCAAATGCTTGAAGTCTAGCCCAGCAGCCCGACCTACCCAGGGAAAGTGGAGAGAAGCGAGGTTCTCCTCTGGCGGCCACAGGGCCAGGCCCTCGTGGGCTTTGCTGTCGGGTAGAAGGCAGCTTTTTCCACCCCAGTTTGGGAAATGCTGAGATAACTGAGTTTACTGAAGCTCTTCAGAACCTTTATGAGGCTTACATGCATTTGTGATGTTTCCCAAATCTATTTGACTGCTAACTCCTTTCTCTCAAAGGATCAATTAACATCTTGTTCAACTAATAGTTTGGTGGGTTGTTGCTGTAAGAGACTCATTTACCTTATGAGGGTTTTTTTTTTTAAGTTAGTGGTTGGAAACAGAATTCATTCCCCCTTAGAAAATAATCACATGCCCACTCCAAAAAAAGAAAAAAGAAATAAAAGTCACCTGTAATGTAGCTGAAAGAGCACAATGGGAAAATGAATTCCATTTCAACCTGAACAGGATGCCACAGGCCTTTTCTTTTTCCAGGTTCCTTAGGATCACCGTTCCTGGTCTCAGCTGAGCCTTTGACTGGGACATGTGAGGGTTACTGTGGTGGCCCCGCCTAGTGGGACAGGTGCTACTACACAGGGATTTAGAAAACAGTTGAGTAGTTTCTAGAAGGGGAACTGTCATGGCTGTCCTCTCACTTTAAATTTTCATAATGAATTAATTTTTTACATCCAAGAAGTTTAGGAATGGGCCCTGGCTGGTTTGGCTCATTGGATTGGGCACCAGCATGAGAACCAAGGGGGTTGCCAGTTGGATTCCCAGTCAGGGCACATGCCTGGGCTGTGGGCCAGGTCCCCAGGAGGGGGTGCGTGAGAGGCAGCCACACATTGATGTTTCTCTCCCTCTTCCTCCCTGCCTTCCCCTCTCTAAAAAATAAATTAAAAAAAAATTTTTAAGAAAAGTTCAGGAATGGGTTGGAATTCACTGAAGCCAAGTCCTAGTTTTTTCCATCTGAGAAAATGGTAGGAGAGTGTTTCCCAAAGCCATAAAGAACATTTTACATGCTACTCATACAGCTCAGAAGGAAATCAGCCAAAGCGAGTGTCTGCTGAGTCCCTTCAGTATGGAACACAGATATTTATACACAGGATCCCTTAAGAAAAACCAATACCTTTATTTTTCTTCAATATATAGTTAGAAAATAGGTCTGAGAAGAGGTTTTGTGAAATAGACCAGAGAATTATATATAATAAAGTCGAGAATTCCAGATCAGCAAAACAAAGTGCGCAGACGAATTGCTCTTCCTCTCGCTCTTCCTCGAGGACCCAGGGCCTAGGCCCGCCCCAACAGCGGGGCGGCGAGCTCCTGGATGGCTTTTGCGTTCAGCTGAGGGATGGTGCTGATCTTCAGGAGTTTGCTGCTTGCATACTTATTCTTGATGGCCTGCAGAAGTCACGTGTGGTTACGGCTACGTCGGACCCCGCTCCCTTTCCCTTTACACCTTGTTCCTAGTCTAACTTACGAGTACTGACGGGCCAGACCCACAACTTGCAGATGGCAGGCTGATACAGTCACAGAAGCTGACAAGCACTCTGGGTTCAGACTATGTTGTACCTGACAATTCCCTTCCTTGCCTAGTAATGGAGAAAGCCCAGCTTGTAGTACAGGCGATGTGGAGCCAGAAGATTTTCAGGTCCGAGGAGCAGGCTTTTTCTCCTAAGCTACCAGAAGGGTGGGAGGTAGAGGCTGCGTTTATTATAGCTAAGTGCCGTCAGGACACAACAGGCTTGCCGGGACCGGCAGTGGACTGGCAATGAAAGTGAGTGGCAACCTGTGCTTATTAGCAAAGCCCAGACCCTCAGGACTGAAGCACATCACACTTCCAAGGTGAGCCAAATCGGGATGGGAGGGTGCTTTGTACAAGTGCCTTGCTCTTCGTTAGCAGACCCTTGCTCAGCTCTGATGTTCAGTGTCCCATGGGCGCAGAACAGCACCCAACCTCCTCTGGCTCCTTGTCAGGTAGGCAGCACAGGACCCTTCCTGAATGGGCTTCTTGCCCCCACTTCTTCACCATGCTTGCTATGCAGGTGCCTTTCAGCCACTGTCCGGAAAGATCCTGGACACAGGCCCTGAGTAACGTCACCTGAATGCCCAAGCCTGCAGGGTGGGCAGGTGTGGATAACTCCCTTGGGCTGCTTGTTGTGGGGCTGACTAATCTGAGCCTGGACGGCGTTAGCCTATCCACCTTGTTTTAAAGAGAGTCTGCTTTCAGACTTGGTCAGTATGCTCCATCCCTTGCTGTACGAGAAAATTACAGTTTGTGGTAAAATAAACTCACGCATGCCAATATCTTTCCATGAAAACACAAACACACAGAGACACTCGTACTCTCATATGCAAAACCTATAACCCAGTGCTTTTCACAGCTTAGGAAAGTACTTACGATGAATTTCGTTAGGTTTTCATTTACTCTCACCACATTTTTGGCCATGTGCTGCATGACTTCCCACACCTCGTTCTCCGTGTAGCCAGTGTAATACTGCTGCTTTAAGTTCTGGAGCACCATGCAAAGAGAAGGGGTGGGATAAAGCCTTCACTTCTTTAGAAGAGCCCCTCTTACACATGCTGACACTACTTATGTAGAAGCTATAAAACAACAGTCTTACCTCCTGGAAATTCAATCACAACCCTAGTGACTACTGGGTATGAGCAAAGCAGCCATTTACTACTGGGTAAATGCGGAGGACGCCGACTCTGAGCAGGGTTAAATCAAGATGCTATGCAGCTCTCAGCTAAACCAAGTGCCAAACTTCCCCCACTATTATTTTTAAAAGAAGGTTACATGGGTTAAGTAGGGTACTTCACGTAACAAAGCTTTCATGCTTCTCTCTCGCCACACTGAAAGGGGATGGAAAGTGGGACAGAGAAATGCCCCCTTCACAATTATGGCAGAGACCTGGGACTAATACATGCCATACGTCCTCCCATCAAGGTCCAAATGACAGGGATGATGGGGGGCTTGATAGCCCAGAATTATGACAAAAAGTAGGCCGCAGGAAGCAATCTAATCCACCGAATCCAGAGGAGCTGCGCGGATTCTCTCGCTGGGCCCTGCACAGTTAAGCCCTGGAGAGAACAGAGAGCAGGCAGAGGCCCAGGCTCGTGGCCGAGCCTCCAGAGAACAAAATTCAAGCAAAGGACAGTTGCTGACTGGAACCAAGACTTGTCATGTATGAAGATACGTAACCTGACTCGACTCCAGTTCTGTGATAAATTCTAAAACCTGAAGTACATCTCTTTCACATGTACAATATAATTGGGAAAATAAACCACAATTCATCTTAATCCTAAAACAGGTGAGCTCTGACTGGTGTGGCTCAATGGGTGGGGTCATCCTGCAAACATAAAGGTCACTGGTTGGGTTCCGGGTCAGGGCACAGGCCTCAGTTGCAGGCCAGGTCCCTGGTTGGGGGTGTGGGAGAGGCAACCACACGTGGATGTTTCTCTTGCATATCAGTATTTCTCTCCCACTCTCTCCCTCCCTTCCCCTCTCTCTAAAAATAAAATTTAAAAAATCTTAAAAAAATAATTAAATAAATGTATTTTAAAAATAAAAAAATTAAAATTAAAAAAATAAAATAAAATAAATAATTAAATAAAATAGGTTTAACAGAAAAACTAAGAAATAAATTCCGAGGGAATGGGGAGACCTTCAGTGAACAAGTTTAGAGCCTAAGGAAGTGTGTCTGAGTCACAAAATTTGGCTAAAATGAGCCCCTGGCACCAGACCTATGTACCACACACATACCAGTCGCCTATCTGCCTCAAGCTTTTTATTTCAAAGATTTCAAATCTACAGAAAAACTGAAAGAATATAATGAACATCTTATATATCATTTGTGTAGATCTATCAGTTAGTGACATTTTGCCACTTTATCAGTATTTGCAACTCACTTTTAAATAGTGCAGTGAAAATTATATGTATATATATCCTCGTACCTAGTCACAACATCATCCTCACTAGATCATAAGAAACATTATCAACAACCCGTAATATCATCTAGTACATAGTCAGTATTCAAATTTCTCCCCTTTTTCCTAATCTGTTTCATAGATTTGTCCTTTTAGATCCAGGGTCCAGTCAAGGTACACGCAGTACATACTGGTTGTTGCGTCTCTAGTCTTTTTCAGTTTTAACACAACTTCTGCCAACTGCTGTGGCTCAGCTGCCTGGGTGTCATCCCACTAAGCTCGAGGCTGCCGGGTAAACTCCCCAGGCTGCTAGTTTGGTCTTGGGTTGGAGTGTGTACAAGAGACGACCAACCAGTATTTTTCCTCCCTCTCTATCTTCCTCACTTTCCCCTCCCTAAAAATAAATAAAATTCTTTTAAAATTTTTTCATTTTCTTGGCTTTAAATAATATCCGACTTTGCCCTGGCTGGTGTGGCTCGGTGGATTGAGTGCAGGCCTGCGAACCAAGGGATCAAGGTTCAATTCCTGGTCAGGGCGCATGCCTGGGTTGCAGGCCAGTTCCTAGCGGGGGACCCACGAGAGGCAACCATACATCGACATTTCTCTCCCTCTCTCCTTCCCCTCCCCTCTAAAGATAAATAAAATCTTAAAAAATAATAATAATAATATCCAATTTTTTGAAGACTCTAGGCCACTCTGCTTGGAGAACATTCCACGTTTTGGATTTGTCTGAGAGTTTTCCTGACGACTGGAGCCGTGTCAACACCTTGAGGGTGAATTCTACGTGGGGGACAACGTGTACTTTCTATTGCACCAGAAAGCAGGTCAAACCGGGAGGTCCCCCCACAGATGATGCCAAGCTCGATCACTGGGGTAAAGTGGTAACTAGCTGACCTTTCCGTCACACAGTTAGTTTTTCTTCAGGGCTACTTGAGGTGGTATTTTGGGACAATGTGAATCTCGTTCCCAACATTATTTCATCTAATGACATTTGCATCAATTGACAAATTAAACTGGTTAATTTCTAACTCTGCCATTCTTTCTACTTTAATCAGCTGGCATTTGACTGATTAGAAAAAAGCCCCCCACCCCATTCTTTCCTTCTCTCCCTTCCTTCCTTCCTCATCATGACCTGTGGATTTTAAAAAATGAATTATAATCTATCGCTTTCACTGTTCTTTGTAATGCTAAGATTTAATCAATAAAAGCCTTTTCAAGTGAGTTCTTGTTTCCTTTTGATGTGACGCTGATACATGCATCTTTGGTTGCTGTCTGCTACAACTTGGTCTAGGCTCACCTCGAACTCCCCTGCCATGGCCCCGAAATCAGCTGTTTCGCAGAGGAGCTGGGGTCGTATCCAATTGTGGGTACCAGGTGTGTTGGTACTGGGTGGTCATTGTTTTGTTCCTCGGCCCTTTCATTATGCATTTACTGACAATTCCCCAAAACATTTAATATTATAGGGTTTTCTCTTTCGTTTTTAATTGTCTACAATATTTTATCTTTCTTTTTACACTGAAAATTTGTCCTTAATAACATTATTTATTTATTTTATCCTAAAAAATACATAAATAGTTTCAGAATTACAAAAGATTAACAATAAACCTCCTAAGTAAACTTTGTTAGCTTTTTGGTCCTTTGTTTTTTCTAACTTCAAGGTTAGAATGTTGTGTTCAGAAGTTACTTGAATTAATTTTCCCCTATGTTCTGTTGCGACTTGATACATAATGTCTCTTTTCTCTACATCTCTGTTTTCCAACTTGATACATAATGACATTGTCTTTGCTTAATTCCATTTCAGGGTTTGCAAAAAAACATCCCTATTGTTCAAAAGTCAAAAAAGTTACATTATATTGTATACAAGTTAACGAAAATTCAAACCAGCAGCCCTGCTCCATCCTCTGTTCCCACCTAACCTCACAGGAAACCATTTACAGTAGTTTCTGGTCTATTTCCTCTGTTTTTGAAAAATTAGCAAACACGTAAACACAAAAACGTATACTCTCTTATTTCCCTTCTTTCTTACATAAAATGCACGCTGTGTGCACCTGAATAGAAGCAGCAGCTCCACCATGGTGCCTTGGTAATCTCACATGTATCCACACTGGCCGTGCAGGCCAGGGCCCGAACCAGGGCTTATCTGTCTCGGCAAAACGCTGTGATCCTCCCGGGACCCGAGGGGATGGTCGACTTAGAGGGAGCTGCCCCCAGACCCGCTCCCACTCACGTTCTGCCTCATTGGGAGGCTGTTAGGAGACCATTTCTCACCCCCTCCTGGGTTCTAAAGAGGCTTTTGCTCTGCTGAAGCCTCAGGGCTCAGCTACAGAATATGCAGCTGCTTAGTAAGAACCTAGCACTGCTCGTGCACAAAACGGTACCCCATGCCCACACCGCAGTCATCCGGCCCCTTATTTCAGTGTTGTCCTCTCTGGCACGTGAGGCACGGAGCTAGCATCTGGCTCCCTGTACAAATCCAAAAGTGGCTCATTTTATCTGTACTGGCAAATCTGTCTGGCCCTGGCCTTGCTTTGTTTTGTGTGCTTCATGACTTGCTTGTTTCACTTAATACAATATCCCAGAAATCTTAGCATATCAGTTCTTAGTGGCTTTCCTCATTCTTTATAACTCTATAATGTATTGTGTACCATGATCACCTACTCTCCATCTGATTGTTCCCAGCAGCTTTCTTTGGGGCCTTTGGACTTTAGCAATTGCTTAAGGATAGTGTTGTGAAAATGCTAACCCCTTCTCTATCCAGAGGACCTAAAATATGACCTAATTTCTTCTTAAATCCAACACTCACCCATTTTCCTTGGCCTAGAACCTTCTGGGACAGGCAGGAAGCAGCCGCCGCCACCTTGGAAGGGTGGAAATGCACCATGTCGTAGTCAATGAGCGTCAGCTCCATCAGGTATTTGGCTAAAGTGTGCTGTTCAACATCTACCTGTGAAAGAAGAGCCAGGGACAGTAAGAAGCACAGCAAAATTCTTATCGTGAAAATTCTGGGTGAAGAAGGCCCAGGAACTCAAATCCATGTAATTCATTTTTCCTTCCCAGAAACTGCTCTATTCCACAGTCTGTTATAATAGAGACCAGGAGGTCTTTTATTGTCAGAACCGATGAGGTAAGTATTAGGACTTACCTAAAAAGACGTTCCCTATAAATTCATAAGCTTCTTTTTAAACAGATTAATGTTTCTGAGTGAGACAACAAGCAACGAAATCAAGTTTCTCACAGAACTGGAGGCACTTACCTCCCCGGCTTTCGATGCCCGCCTTAAGAAATGTAGCGGCAAAGGCCGGCCCAACTCAAATTTCAGTTCTTTCAAAATTAGAGCTTCCATTTCTCGGATTTGGGCACCGGTATACGCGTTATCTGTGATGTAAACGAAGTCTTCAATATTTGGAGAAAACATCTCCTCATACTTGGAAGCCAAGAGCAAAGCTGTAATCCCAACCAGTTGAAGCTTCTTGCGAGAGACTGGCTGAACCTAGTTGGAGAAGAATGTGTCAAAGTCGCATCTAATACCTAACAAGACCGAGAATCTGGGCGGAAGAGAACGGGAGGGAACCAAGTCCCAGAGACGTGCACGTCGACTCTGCTCACACGGGAAACCTAACTGCTAACAGCAATACTACCACAGCTGTCTGTTACTGCACTCGCTATTGTGCCAGGAACAATGCGAAGATTCCAACAATCCTCTCATCAAATCATCACAAAAACCGCAGGAATTACCTATTTCCCCCCCTTGCGAACTGACGGCCTGCGCAAAGGCTCAGACAGCAGCCCGAGATCACTCCGTCGCTGTGGCCGTTCCGCGCCCGCTATCCTGGTCGGAGTGTCTGGGAAGCCCCTACGTGGCACACGACGTGGTCTGAGTCAGGAGGCCACGCCAAAAGGCAGGGGTTTAAGGACGTCTGGAGACAAAGCCGAGGGTTCACAAATGTTTCCTTAATCCTCTCCAAAGGTGCATTTATTAGTCACTGAAGAATCTTTCAAAGGTGCTTCAGAGTCAATGAAAATCTCAGTCAAGAGTGTAAATGTTGCCATTAATTTCCTTTTTAAGAAAAGCTACTTTGCTTTTCTTGCTTCAACTCTAATTGTTGAAAATCTACCTCCCAAAAAAGACTATATAATGTAAACCACTTGTACAATAAAACCCACCAAATCTATGGCTTCTTAGGATTTTGTGGTATCTCAGGGTCATTATTATAAACACAGTTATTGTATTCTTTGTACTTGACCTAAATCTGTATCATAAATGTTGACTTCAAATAAGTCAATCCAATTTGCAAGGCTGTTGCTTGGTAGGTAACACACCAATGGTTTATGGCAGGAATTTCTCCTAAGTGGTTGGTGTTTTGCATTTTACTGATCGATAAATATTTTGATGATCACTTCTGCCTCTCAGCTTAATTTCTTACATTCCTCTTTGCTTGAGACTTCACATTCTGGTCCACTCCCACACACACCCTTTTTTTTAAAATACACTAAGAACACTGGATTACACTCCCCTTTAAAAAAAAGTTCCGCCTCCTCCCACTTCTATCGTGATTCAATGCCACAGCTGGCTGGAACCTGTTTAGTTCTCTAGACCAACTCCTCACTTTTCAGAGGAAACTTAACAGCAGAGAACACCAAGCTACAGACACCATGCAAGCAGGCCAGCAAAGCCAGCATCTGAAGGCACCACAGGCTCCAGACTGACTTGCAGACCATCTGCTGGTGTATTTCCTCTGATGAAGGACTGTGGCGATGCCGCAATTCCCTGAGCGCTTTTCGGCAGCCGACCCAACAAAAATGCCCGCATTGGTCAGCATCATCAGAGGTTTGACACACTTGGACCGCCTCCCATCCCAGAACCTAAATTCTTTGGCGTCTCATAAATTGGCTTTTCATCTTTTCTCCAGAGCTACCACATCTCGGCACTGCGAAAGCACAGTGCTCTGTGAACCACTGGTACAAAGTCCCTGAAGTCGCACTTACCTGTAAAAATCGATCCATAATGGCGATGCACATGTACAGGGTTTCCTGCAGCAGCCTAAACTTGGAATGGACTTGCACCAGCCAGTCCACCAGAATGGCACGCATACGTCCGTTTACATCTCTTCCATCTAAGAAATGTGGATTTATGGACTGCAGAACCTGTGGGTAGAATAAAAGTTTCAAAAGCTGACCTCGTTTCCTTTCCAGCTGTGGGGTACGCCCCATACTGTTTACACAACAAAACCGCCAAAGACCACGCACCTCTAGCTGCCTTAGGTACTGGTAGATATCCTTGACGTAGTCGCTGCAGAGCTGAGGGTTCTCCCAGTCTTCAGTATCGATGTCCTCGATTTTGCACAGCAAGGCGTCGGAGAAAGCTTGACAGAGGCTCTCTTCCTTCATGGCGTGGGAGAAGGACCCTACCTCAGGAGCTATCCTCAGGCGTGGGAGAAGGACCCTACCAGACAAATGAAAGTGCACGTGTCACCCCCTCAGGAGCAGCCTTCGTCACAAACACATGCAGAGCCCACTGGTTCAAAAGTACCATATGCATTTTTGAAATACGTTAAAGCCAAAACAAATACATTTCAGAGAATTGGTGAATAATTCACAACATAGTAGATGTTTTTAGAGACCTACTCCTTTGTTTAAAACTCTCTGATTACACTCAGAGTGAACACTGCAGCCTTCATGCCACCTGCGGGCCCTGCACCCCCTTCCCCTGCTGCCCCGCCCGCAGCCTCTCCCCCTTCGCTTTCTCCAGCCTACTGGCCTCCCCCCTCGCCAACAGGGTCCCCCTTCCCAGACACGCCTGTCCCTGTATTCACATGGGTAATTCCCTCGCCTTCAAGTTCTGTTTCAATGTCACCTTCTCAGTGAGGTCCATCCAGACGTGTATTTAAAATGACCACCTGCTTTCCACTCCTCCCCACCGCATATTTCACTTCTGTTTTCCCCCATATAATCAATCTATAGCCTTCTAACAGAATTTACATATGTATGGTGTGTATTACTGTCTATCTCTGCTAGCATGTAAGCTCTGTAAGCTTACATTTATTTAGGTCTACTAAGTATCTCGAATGTCTATATCATCCCTAACACACAGCAGGTGCTCGACAAATATTTACGGGAAGAGACTTCGACACCTGGGTTTAGAGGGTCCTGGAGCTGACAGTTCATTTTAGCAGGAGCCTTTTCTACAAGTGGGATGTCTTCGTCTCACCAACTGATTTATTCTAAGCTGAGCAAATGTCCGGCAACTAAAAGGCAGGAAAGCGCACCCAGCCTCTGAATGAAACAGGAGGAAGGGGAGAAGGCAAGCAAGCGCACGCTCAGTGATTGTTTCCTCACGCTGACGGTGAGTATTTATCGAAAAAAACACACATTAGAAATATATTAAAACAAGTGTTTAGTAATGAAGTATAAATAAATCATTACTTTTTAAAAGAATGAGAGGTACTTCTCAAAGCAAAACCTAACAGAACTGCTAGGCTATAAAGAATATGTGTTAAAGTAACAGAATATAGTAAGAGAAGACTGTATAATAAACAATTTTGATTTATATTCAAGCTCAACAATTAGTTTCCAATCTTTGAGGAGGATAAAATAACAACAAAATACGCATAGCATTTCAAACAGCCCTTCCCTCTTAAATTAGTTATGAAACTGAGGAAGGGCCAGGAGAACAAGAGGTATACTGGTAGGCATGCAACTTATTCAGGAATTTAAGAACCTCGAGGGGCTAGAATAAATACAAAAACGTCTCTTGGGGTACTGGGGAGAAACCTAGGGAAGGTTACCAGAGTGGGGAAGACCTTCAGGAAAGTGAGAAGGCAGAAGGTAGGCCGGTACAAAGTCCCAGGGGAAGCCAGGAGGCAAAGGCAAGTCCGGGGGCTCTGCAGTAATTCGGGACAGCAGGAGGGCGTGCACAAGGTATGCAAAGGTGTGCTGGAAAGGTGAGCGAGGAGTTTAGATTTCACCTTAAGGTAAGTGAACCCACTGAAGGAACTGAGCAAGATTGATGAGAATTTGATGTGCATTTTAATAAGCACATGTAGCTCCAGTTTAAGGTTACTTTTCAAGGGTAAGTGTTATCGCCCTCCCCAGGAAGGGCAGTCAGCCTCAGGAAGCTGGCTTAAGGAGGCAGAGGTTATCATCATGTGCAGCATTAGCACCTTGAAATGTTTACCTATGTCTCTTCAGAAGTACACCCGAGTTTTGCTATATCCAAAAACCACCGGGATAATACAAAGATAATTTCCTGGAAGCTTTCCTTTTGAACTCCAACATAATTATTCTAAAATCCTCTCTAAGATCCCACTCATCCATGTGGATGGTAGCCTAAGCCCTATGAACCAATGGTACAACCCTCTGCCCAGTGCCTGCTACACGCAAAATTTTAAAATGTATCAGCTAGTTAAGTGGCACAAACCTCTGAATGACAAAATCAGCCTGAAGAATAAATACCTTCAAGTGTGGGCTGTGAAGAGATAACTAAAACAATGAAACTGTGAGCCCTGCCTGGTGTGGCTCAGGGGACTGAGTACTGGCCTGCAAACCAAGGGTCGCTGGTTCAATTCCCAGTCAGGGCCCATGCCTGGGTTGCAGGCCAGGTCCCAGCTTGGGTGGGTGTGCAAGAGGCAACTGATCCATGTATTGCTCATGTATTGAGGTTTCCCTCTCTTTCTCACTCCCTTCTCTTCTCCCTAAAAATAAATAAAATCTTTTTAAAAAGAGAGAGAGAAACAATGAAGATGTGAGATTTTGCTGAACTTGAGAAACTTGTGTTTGATCAGGAGCAGTGGAGTGTAAGTAAAGGCCACGGAAGCTCTCCAAGTACTGACACTGAAGGAGTTGGGTCTGTCGAGAGAATGATGAATGCTGATAGGGAAATATACAGGTATTTACACAAGTCTTGATAAAACACGGAGTTCCTTTATTTACTAAATTTACAACGTTTATGTCATAAATCAATGTCAATTAAGTGCAACGAGGGAGGAGTTCGAGTAAGACTGCTGATTCTAATCAGCCCATGATTTGCAGCAGCGAGTGTGTACTTGTGAACACTCAGGCAACCATAACTGCAGAAAGGCAAAACTGGTTACTGCGACTAGCTTTAGGGAAGGTGTGGCGGAGTGGAATGAAATTTTGCGGGTATGGAGAGTAGTAAAAATGAGCTGACCTTTTTGGTTCTGTGCACTCTATATATTTCTGCACGGTCTTGCTTTTTTATGACTATATTTCTTGGGTATTTAAAAATGAAAGGCACTCTTTTTGATTTAATATGAACAGTTGTGCTTAATTCCCTTTCATACATACTTTTTGTATTAGGGAAAGTTAGGTCATAAAATATTCTTATGTTTGAAAATAATGACCATCCTTGAATTTAGTGTTAGAATCAAACCTGTAAATCTAAAATCTAACACGGACTTCTGGCTGCCACTCCCCAGTTCACTTCCAAGCTTGCATCTCTCTTTTACAGCCCATTACAGCACAGCAAGGCATGCTTTTACTCTGCCGTTCCCCACCTGGTTGGGAGCTACTTGAAGACAAAGTCAGTGGTTCATCAAACTTGTATCCCCAGTGCCCAGCAAACATGAGGCTGGTAAAAGGGTTTCTCCCTCCTTCAAACTACTCAGTGTTTGCCAAAGCTTCACTACTCTGCAAAACAAAACAAACAACACACTCTCTTCTCCAAAATTTGCAGGATAATAAGCTCCTGCAAATACCTGTGAATGGCTGAAACCCTTTCCAGGCCTCGGACTGAATCTCTGGTGACCCAGCTGCTTCACCTACTGCAAGACAGAAATCTGACCTCCAGTTTTGCAGAGAATAAGGTGAATTCGATTGATTAGTGGTCTGGGAACATCTGTGTTATCAGCTTTCCCTGTGCTCAACTGGCATTTTAAAAACCTGTAGGGACTGGCTGTAAGGAATAGCAATCACTGCAGTTGGAGCAGAGGACAGAGCAAAAGCCAGAGGGCTGACCAAAGATAGGTAAGCAGAGGGAGGAGCTGACCTGTTGGAGGCAGGGCTTCTCCTAAATTATGGACTTTTTTTTTTTTTTTCAGAGAAAAAGTGCATCTGAATTGGAAACAATCATTGTTCATCAATCCCTGATGTGTTCTGAAACTAGAAGCACATTTCAATCACAAATGATTTTTATTATGAAATGAGCTGTAGGTCCATAATTCTTCACCTGAAAAATAGTGGCCTCAGTTTTGCCAGGAAGCTAGAGAAAGGGGTCAGCCAAGAAGATGTGAGACCCTGGCTGGTGAAGCTCAGTGGATTGAGTACCGGCCTGTGAACCAAAAGGTCGCTGGCTTGGTTCCCAGCCAGGGCACATGCCTAGGTTGCAGGCCAGGTCCCTGGTAGGGGGCATATGAGAGGCAACTGATTGATGTATCTCTCACACATTGATGTTTCTCTCCCTCTCTTTCTCCCTCCCTTCCCCTCTCTCTAAAAATAAATAAAATCTTAAAAAAAAAAAAGGAAGGTATGGAGTACAGGGGACTCAAAGAGTGAATTTCTGAAGTAATTTCTCCTTTGTTTTGTTCACAATATTTTTGGTTCTTTTCTTTTTCTTTTGCCCTTTTTTTCTTCTCCAAATCAAACATGTACTATGGTGAAAAGTAAATATTTTAAGAAAGAAAATAAAACTCAATATAACTTGATGAATAACTACCATCAATATTTTACATGTAAACGCACAATTTTAAAAGCAAATTTGGGTTTTCACTGCATCATATTGAGTAATAATCCACTTTTTTCTAATGTAAGATGATTTTAACATCTTTAAGTATTCTATTAAAACATGGTATTTATAGCCCTGACTGGTGAGACTAAGTGGGTTGGGTGTCCTCCCACAAACCAAAGTGACGCCAAAAGGTTGCTGGTTCGATTCCCAGTCAGGGTACATGGTTAGAATGAGGGCCAGGTCCCCAGCTGGGGGAGTGTGAGAGGCAACAATTGATGTTTCTCTCCTTTTCTTTCTCCCTCCCTTCCCCTCTCTCTAAACATAAATTTAAAAAAATTTTAAAAATAATAAAACATGGTATTTATAGGACTTCATTGAATGGACTGGACTAATCTAATACATTTCTTTTATATAAGAAATATTCATTACAGCACTATTTAAACTAAACGTCCCAGACTGTTTCTCTGATCATTTTCTTAGGACAAATTTTTAAAAGCACACTTACTAGGTATGTAGAATAACCATCTGAAATATACTGCCAAATGGCCCTCCTGAAATGTGGGAAGAACCTCATTCAAAGAGGCACCCATAGAAAATGCTTCCTAATAATCAAGAGCCCAAGGTCTGAAAAGCTGCTTTGGGCTTGGCATTTAGGCCACAGGACACCTCCCAGCAGAGGCCCAGTGAAGGAAGCCCGACCTTGAGTATTTATTCTGTGCTTTAGTTCCTGATTTGAAACTCTCTCCTTCTTTCTTATGAGCAGCAACATCCTTGCCCTCAGCTCTTCTAAGCAGAAGCCCCCGAGTCTGTCCCGCTCCTTTAGGTGTTGCCAGTCCATTTCCCAGGGAATGTTGCTCTGCTACCTCAACACATCTAAAGCCAAACAAGACACCTTCCCCAGAGCTACCTTCCTCTCTTGATTAATATTTTTTATTAATTTGCCCTGGCTGGTGTAGGTCAGTGGATTGAGTGCAGGCCTGTGAAACAGAGGGTCACCGGTTCGATTCCCAGTCAAGGCCATGCCTGGGCTGCAGGCCAGTTCCCAGCAGGGGACACATGAAAGGCAACCACACTTTCTCTCCCACTCTTTCTCCTTCCCTTCCCCTCTCTCTAAAAAAATAAAATAAAATATTTAAAAAATATTTTTTATTAATTTATTCCTAAATGGTTTCTTGAATACTCAGTGCCTTAAGGGTTTCACTCCTTCACTCCAAGCAACATATCCAATAAACTTCTTCTGCATTCAAGATGTTACCTGTGAAAGCGGTCTGGTACATTCTAGAACATTTTTTTTTAAAGATTTTATTTATTTATATTTAGAGGGGAAGGGAAGGAGAGAGGGAGAGAAACATCAATGTATGGTTGCTTTTCATGCATCCCCTGCTGGGCACCGGCCTGCAAGCCAGGCATGTGCCCTGACTGGGAACTGAACCGCGATTGTCTGGTTCGCAGGCCCGCGCTCAATCCACTGAGCTACACTGGCCAGGACATTAAGAACATTTAATGCCGTCTCCTAGCACACCTCCTAACCACGGCCCTTCCATGGCCGCCCTGCACTCTTTCATCGCTTCTCCCCTCCATTTTTCAGCTCCCGCTCTGCCTTACAGCAGCGATTTTCAACCACTGTGCTATGAGAACGTTCGAAACATACAACACCTGACTACTCAGTCAGGGGCGCCACTGTCCTGTCCCCTAGATTGTTAAATTAAAAATTGACAGCGGCCAACACAGCAATAGCCATCTGGTATGAATGAATCAAAATTATATCTATACCTATTGTTTTGTCAGATTAGCAAAAAATAATTTTTTGTGCCACAGAGTTTTTAGTAATTAGTTTATGTGTCCCATGAGATGAAAAAGGTTATAAATTGCTGCCTTACTGGGTAACATCCAAATTCCAAGGCCTTCATATCCAACTGCAACCTCCTCCTAAATTTATAGGCTGCTTCCTCACTCAGACCTGACCCAGTTTAGATTTGTGGACTCCTTACCTGGAGGGCATGACTGTAGGCCTTTCCCACTTTGGTGCCTTAATTCTTGCTCCTGCTTCGTTCCCCTGAAAGGTGCTTTTTCCTGTCAGCTTCTCCCTGTCCTTACAATTGCCACTCATTCCATGAAGCTTCCCCTGACCACTGCATCCTGCAGTGTTCTCTCCCTGCCTCCGATGCCCTTTCCAAGGGACAGCACTTCCGCCAACCCCGGCAATCGGACATTCCATCAAATGCAGTGCCTACGACACCCAGCATCATTCCCTAGGATTGGTGCTTTAATTTTCAGGTATGTATGTCCCTTCTAAATAAACTTTATGAAGACAAGATGCCTTTTTCAGCCTTAATATAGCTGGATATGTATAGTAAGTGTTCAATGTATATATTTCTCAAATATAGCCAATGGTTTATTTGGAAAATTTTCATACAATTATATATATACACACACACACACATATATATATATTTGAGCTGGAAAAAGCAAAGTAGTTGTTGCATTTTCAGCACCTACAACAGTGCTAGTCTCGTAGTAATTACACGAATATATGTCATCTAGGAAGGAGACCATGCATGAACTTATACAGGGCGGAAGGGGAACAGGCAGAGTTGACCAGTCACACAGACTACAATGTATCAATACAGAATGTTGGTATTTCCTTGTTTTTACATGAGTGTGGGTTTCAGAATTGTGAGATTCCACAGCTTCATGGGCAAATTCATTCTTATGGTAGATTACTTTAATAAAACTTACCAAATTTCACTAGGAGATCACTACATTTATTTAGATATAATGGTAATTAATTTTGTTATTCAAGGTCATAAATATTGAGGCATCATCACTAAAAAAGTTGTATATATTCATCTTCCACAGTGTTGTTTCACAGTAGAATTCTAGCTACGAATGGTTTTCAAAAGTTGCAGTGTGGAAAAAGGCACCTTGCAGTCTAGCCAGAAATGGTCTACTTCATTAGGTAAGTTTGTTAATTCAGAGCTCCCTACCTTTGGAGCCAACATTTTCATCTGTACTGGTTTCACAGAAGCAACAGGTTTCAGCTGTTTGTTGGCATTTGTTGTTTTGGTGGGTTGGACAGGTACTTTCGTGTTCGGAGCTTTCTACAAGGAAAAAGAAATGTGAATAGGGCAAGACAGCAACGTCGCCCTCAGTGGGCACACGTACAGTCCTCACGTTTCTTACCTTAGCTACTTGTGTTGCTCTGGTTGTAACCCTATTTCCAATTTCTTCTAAAACTGCTCGACGGAGTGTCACATGACTCTTCGTTTTAGAATTAACTCCTGTGTCAATATTCTCTAAATCAGTGGACACCTAAAAAAAATAATAAAGAGCTGAGCCCTGGCTGGTGTGCCTCAGTGGATTGAGTGCCAGCCTGTGAACCAAAAGATCACTGGTTTGGTTCCCAGCCAGGGCACATGCCTGGGTTGCAGGCCAGATCCCAGGTAAGGGGTGTGGGAGAGGCTGTTATATCTCTCACACATTGATGTTTCTCTCCCTCTCTTTCTTCCTCCCTTCCCTCTCTCTAAAAATAAATAAAATCTTTAAAAAAAAAAAAGAGTTGAGACAACAGAAAATACCTGGTTGGTGTCAGATACCCACATTCAGAATTGCTTTAGGTAAGGTTAATATGCTGAGGTCTACTGGTAAGAGCAAAAAGGCACATTCCAGGAAGTCTAAAAACACTATTCGCACTTGATAACATCACTCTAAATTAGGCAGATCACTGATCTGTTACCTATAAAAAAATAATGCCACTCAGAGCTAAACAGACGTGATTATTTCCCGTATAGCACCATGTCACCTGCTACAGAGCCCTATATATTAAAGGCATGTACAGTACTTAAAAACTTTCCTTTACAGAGATTAGTAACAAGTGCAATTAAAACACAATATTAAACTGTTATAATGAGTCAGGCTTTTCAAAAACCAGATGTTTAAAACCTAAACTAGAGGGTTGCGGTTGGTTACAGATGGTTCATACACCAGAAGGTTGTGGATTTGATTCCCAGTCAGGGCACACACCTAGGTTTCCAGTTCAACCCCCATCAGCCAAGTATGGGCATATGGGAGGCAACCAATCAATGTCTCTCTCTCTCTTAAATCAGTAAAAATATACCCTCAGGGGAGGATTTAAAAAAAAAAAAACTAAACTAGCTTTGATTCTTTTTTTTAATTTTTAAAAAGATTTTATTTAAGCCCTGGCTGGTGTAGCTCAGTGGATTGAGCATGGGCCTGCGAACCAGAAAATCGCGGCTCGATTCCCAGCCAGGGCACATGCCTGAGTTGCAGCCCAGGTCCCTGCAGGCCAGTTCCCAGGAGGGGATGCACAAAAGGCAACCATACATTGATGTTTCTCTCCCTCTCTCCTTCCCTTCCCCTCTAAGGATAAATAAATAAAAATCTTTAAAAAAAAAGATTCTATTTATTTTTAGACAAAGGGGAAGGGTGGGAGAGGAAGAGAAACATCAATGTGTGGTTCCCTCTAGCATGCCCCCTACTGAGGACCTGGCCAGCAACCTAGGCAGGTGCCCTGGAGAGGGAGTCCAACCAGGGACCCTTTGGATGGGAAGGTCGGCGCTCAATCCACTGAGCCACACCAGCCAGGGCTAGCTTTGATTCTTATGCCATAATTGAAATAGTAAGTGCTTATGTAGACATGCTCTTGTAGAGATACAACCTTTAAAATGAGGTTACCATAGCATAGACTCTCTCATGTTAAGGATATTTAGAAAGGAAATAGTTTTTGTGGTTAAGGGTTTTACTCTCCAATTCAGATAAAGTTTGAATTGTATGAAATAAAACTAGTTGATCTTAGCCTGTTTTAGACAAAATGAGTTTAGGAAAAATAATTCATACTTAAAAAGTTCATTTTATTGTAGAAGTGAAAAGCATGTCATAGAAAAAAAAATAGCCCTATCCCTCAGAAACTGGAACTTCTAATCTTAAAGTGTCTCCCAACAGGGAATATAAATGAACCTACAGGGTAGAAAGAATTTGACTATGAAAGAACTTTTTGGAACAGATTAAACAAAAATTACTTGTCAGTTCGACTTAGGTACTCAAAAGGGTAGAAAGTAAAAACTGAATGTATTCAGTCACAGTGTTCAATTTTTCTGGCAGTAACTGCCAACTGTTAAAAGTGTTTGGAAGTTTAATGCTTACAGGGGAAGCCTGGTAATGTGATTAAATTTAAATCAGCTTTTTACACTAGTCTTAAAGCCAGGAGGTTGGAACTCAGGTGTGTTTTGACCCTCTATTTTTCAGCAAAGGAAAAGTAGATACAAGGGCAATTCAAGCCTGCAGGAAAAATATCCAAAATACCATCAACACTGATTTTTGCGACGATGAAATAAATGATCCAACATTCTGAACACTTTACTGATCACGGTATTTCTTCCCGTCCTTCTTCCCATCCCCACAACGGATCCCTTAGCTGGTAAGGAGTCTGAAAACAGAGAAAAGAAATCCCAAGAACCCTGTATCTAGGCAGCTAACAAATAACGAGCACTCAGGATCGTTTCCTGACTACTAGGCCCAGGCTCCAGAGGCTCGCTTTCCAGGAGTTCCCCCACCCCAGCGCAGAGACCCGCAGGGGCCGGGAACCGGAGATCGGAACCAAGGCCGGGAAAGGCCACAGGGGAAGCGGACAGCCGGAAGAAGGGAAAAGCAGCACCCGCTGTGACAAAGAAGCCGGAGAAGAAGAAGAGAGAAGCGAGCGGCGGCCGAGGGGACTGGGGTGGGAGTGGGGGAGGGCCGAGGCCCTTCGCCCAGGTCGGGGGTGGCCGGTTCACTCACTGTCGGGCGTCGGAGCAGCGCCATGAGGGACGGGGCAGGCAAGAGTGCCAGCCCAAGGAGAGACGAGGACTGCAGAGGGAGGGCACAGAGGTCCGCGGCGCCGTTAGGTAAGTGCTCCGAGCTGCACCGCTGGAAAAGTTCGGCTGCTGACTTGTTCCTGGATTCAAATACGGCGCCTCTTGCGCCCCTATTGGGCGGTTCTACGTACGGCGCGCTCTTCCCATTGGCTCAGAGGAGGTATTCGCGCATTCTGATTGGATAAAGTTTTCGGACCCGTTTGCCCTAACAACCGGTTGTTTTTGTGCCTTCTATCTTTTTTTAAAAAACCTTGACCTCCAAGATAAACAAAACTGAAGTGTCTCATTGCGAAAGCAGACATAGCACGCCTTCCCTGAATGTTGACAAGGCCTCAGCTACAGATCTTTATGTTTGTACTGGGTGGGCAGAAGTTGGTTCTAGGGAACACCCTGAAAATGCCATTTCTTCTTTATTCCTCTTCTGGAAATTTCAGTTGGAGTTTGGGTTGGTTTGGGTCGTGAACAGGCGCCTCTGGGTGGCTCAGAGCTGCACAGTACTTGGTGAGACTCAAACGTGTGCTAAAGAAGTGGGAATTGTGGCGTTCACTCAAAAGCTAAGATTCCCAGGAGAAGCAAAATAATGATATAATAGCACTATTCCTTGGTGCGTGTTATGGTCGGTGCTCAATAAATTCTCGTCGAATAAGTCATCCCGTGATATGCAGGACGCTTTAAAATGAAACAGAAGGTGTGATCCAGCCTTGGGCAGAAGGGTAAGAGGATCAGGTCAAGACATGGAAGGAAAAAGAGAACTGGAAAGGGGAGAAGGAAGAAGGAAGGAAAGGTCCAACACCCACAGTAAAGGTAGTGGAATGACTCCTGATAACAGGATCCATTTAAGAATTCGAGCAAGAATTCCTATCACGCGTATTCGGCTCTTTGAAAAACGGTTTACCTCTCTGTTACTGGGGTACTAGTGAGTCTTAAGTAGAGTTAAATAACCTGGATTAAATTCTTTACTCTTGCATTTGATATTTCTAAACCTGTTTCCTCTTCTATAAAACAGGAATAATTGCAGCTACTATGCAGCATGGGAAGATGTTAGGGTATCCATCGCCCTAAAGTAATTTTAACCGACTTACAGGGCTTGTAAACAGAAATGCTATCAATGGCAAAGTGCTCTTATTATGACTTGACATTGTCATAATCATAATAAGATTTTATTATGACTTTAATTCATATTAGATTGTATTTTCATTAAAAATGAAAGTAACATTTCTGTCCCTTACTGCAACTAACTTAGAAGCTTGCAAATAAACTTTTTGATTCAACCTCTAGTTTAATGCACTTAGTCTTTTATTTTTGTTCCATTTCTTCCTGCCTTAGATAACATTGATCACTCCTCCTATCTACTAATTTACATAATTTTTTTCTTGAAACCTCATAACAATCCTTATAAAGCAGGTAGTATCCCAATTTTTTGTCATTTTTTTTATGGAGGGATAATTGATATGTTTTAGGTGTACGACACTATAATTCTATATTTGTATATACTGCAAAATGATCATCACAGTAATTCTAACACCTGTCATGTATTATCTCAGTTTGAAGAAACTAAGTCTCAGCAGTTAAATATCTTGGCTACAATCATAGCACTTACGAGTTTCAGGGCCGGGATTTGTGATTGGGTCTGGGGTACCAATGAACCTTGAATAAAGCCTGTGCTCTTTCTACTACATTTACCACTTGTTCACTCTATTTACATTTGGCAGGAAAAGTGGGGAAAGTTTGAAACAGGGGAGGAAATCAAATAGGAAATTAATGAAGGATAAATTTCTTAAAGGCTAATGGCCCTTTGCAGTATGGTAACATACTATGATAAATTCACTTAATTTCTTGGTCAAGTACTTACTGTTTCAAAAAGAAGTGCATGTAAATTTCAGTGACTATGGAGTGAGAGGAAACTATTGCATGCAGAAGCACAGACCACCAGCACTGGACTGGCATGATGGGAAACCAGGTGAGTGGCTTGGTTCGGCAGGAGCCATTGGGCTTCAAGGCGGCTATTGCCTAGTGTCGTTCAACCCCATGGAAGTGAGTCAGAGACAGGCCTAGGTTCTGATATTCCAATACAGATGTTTTGGTCCTGGAGCGCCAAATGGGAACTCTTCTGACCTGATACCTAAATTCCCCAGTTGGGGGTCGAGTCTTGGAGTCACAACTGTGAGGGATGATTCTTCTGAATTCCAAAGGTTTGCCTGCTGTTTGTCAGACCTTCCTCACCTCCAATTTCTTATTCAGATACCTAGCTCTTTCTCCCAGTCTTGGGATTCTTTTTCTCAGAATCCCAGGACCTTCTCCCACTGAGACTACTTCACATTCAGATAGCCACTGTTAATGGAGAATTCAATAACTTCAGCAGGCAAAAATTGCCCAGGTCAGGTCAGGGCTGGAACCCGCGCAGCCCTCCTACAAGTCCCATCTGCAGACCACGAGGACCAGCTCAAACTCAACCCCAGGTGCTGCTTAATTTCAACAGATGCACTAGAATGTGTGCTCCATATGGGCGGAGGTGCTGATTTTGTGCCCCACTTCTTCTCCAGTGCCCATAACAAATAAGGTGCTTATTTATGGTTGAGTTTTTTACTAGGATTCACTTGGGTTACATACCAACTCACCTCATGTCCTTGAAGAATACTTTCCCCTTCTGGGTGACTTTCAGCAGCCATTTTCCAGATCACAGTGTAATTTATATACCATTAGTGAATGAGACAATTGACAAATGATGACTTTCATCAGCTGATTTTTATCAGAACCCGGTACCTTCCTAATACAGCACCACGTTCTCTCCCTCAGTTGCTCTGATCCCACTTCTGTTTCCCACCCCCACCCATCTCTCTCTACCAGTTTCTGATTTCTTCCCTTCTTTCAACTAGCTAGGAGATAAAATAAACTATAATTGATATATTGAAAAAAAAAGTCTGTGTGCCAGACACTGCAGGGAACACAGACTATAGTATGAGCCACTCCAAGTTCAAAACAAGGAAGGGGATACACACAGAAACAAAATTAAGAGGTAGAATCTAAAGAAAAAAAACAGAGCACCAAGGAGAGATTCATTCAGAATGGGGGGATAAAGGGGGCTTACTAGAGTGGGGACTTTTGAGCTGGACTTTGTCAGAACAGATAGATTTTAGCAGGCAGAGATGGCAAAGGCATTCATGAAGTGGGGACAATAAGAATAAAACAAAGTAGTCTGAGGCGTTTGGGTCATAGGAATGTTAAAGCTGCAAAAGTCCAGAAAATGAGGAATCCAGGCAGGTTTTTAAGAAAGGTAACCACTGTCAGAATTTCGCTTTAGAACGCTAACGCCAAGACACATGGAGGGCGGACTAGCGTGCATTGGGAGGCTAATGGTTCCCCAGGTGAGACCTGGATGAGTGTGGAGAATGAGGGAAAAAAGTATGAGGGGCATTTTAGGAGAAACCGCAGAACCTTGGCAATTTACTGAATGTGGGTAAGATAACAATGGTAACTTTTAAAAGTTTTAAAAAAGATTTTATTTCTTTTTAGAGAGAGGGGAAGGGAGGGAGGAAGAGAGGGACAGAAACATTAAGGTGTGGTTGTCTCTTGTAGGCACCCCCCAGGGACCTGCTTCCCAGGGACCTGGCCAGCGACCTAGGACTGGGAATCGAACTGGTGACCTTTCCGTTTGCAGGACGATGCCTACAACCCACTGAGCAACAATCCGCCAGGGCAGTAACTTAAAAACTTTGAGTGGTTAGGTTAAAATGCTCTCAAGAGCTATGCAAACTAAGTTATTATAAATAAATAAATATAGTAACTTCTCTGGAGGGGCAGGTGAGTTATTTTTCTTACCAAAAGAAAGCCTTTCCTCTGCCCTGCTTGCATCCATCGTGACCTATTACTTCCACCTTGACCGACTGTCCCATGCATGAAGGTCACCAGGTTGTCTATTGCCGGCCAGGCAGGGTGCTTGGGTATGTCCTAGTCTATGGCCTGCACATTTCCCCAGAAGCAGGGAGGCCCAGAGAGGCGGAAAGAAACACTTTCCTGGAGTCTTCATGAGCCTCCACTCAAAACAATTCTTTAAAATCTGAACCTTGGGCTTGTGGATTATCTGTCTTGTGGTTATTGCTTTTTAATCAACCAAATACCTTCTATAAGCAAGGTACTATGCATACTACTTAGAAGGGGGAAAAAAGCATAAAAACTGGGTCTCTGCCCTCATGGTGCTTAAAATAGAGAGAGAAGGTGCGTGGAAGAAGAGCACATAACTCACGCTTCGAGAGGGAGTAAAAAGGTTTGAGGAGATCTGCTGAGAATTAAAAACAGTATGCTGTTCAATTACTCATGCATTTCCGGTTCTCTGTTACAGGGATAAACACTGAGACACACTCTAAGTTTGGTATCATTTCCTAATCAGTTTCAGCGGAATACTAAGAAGCTGAAGAACGTGGAAAATATCCCAGTTGGCATATCAAGTTGACTTTTCCAGTTGCAGCCCCGACCCTGGGCTGTGCTGTGCCTGTGGGGTCCACAGGTCTATGCAGACAGGAGAGCCAGTCCCACCGCCACACAGGTGACGGTGCGAAGACCCCATCTCTTTGGTTTGTAATCTTTGCCCAATTCATTCTTATTCCTTCCATTGCCACCTGTGTCCTTTGGGAAGCCTGTGCTCCCTTTAAAAATGCCACTGTTCCAAGACCTAACACACACATAATATGAAACAAGGTAATTCCATCCTTCTGAATGCACAGATCACATCTGTGGTAATGATCATAACTAGGTATCATACTTTGGGGAACATTGATAAATGAGAAGTATCCAGAAAATGGTAATAAGGACAGCAAAAAAGCTTAAGATCCAGTTTAAACAAAAAACAAGGGTACTGAGGATATTTCACTTGTAAAAGACCTAAATAAGTCAAGATGGCTGTCCTACAATAAATATCTGAGAAGCTAGCATATAGCAAGAAACCAGATTTATTTTTGTATTGCCTTAGAATATAGAATAGAACCCTAAGTGAGGTTATAGGAAGACGTACCAAAGAAAACGAATGATTGTCTCTAGAAGAAATGTGCTTCAGTAAGTGCTGACCTCACCATCACTGGAACAATATAA